CCCGCCACACGCCGCTGTCCGGCCAGTGGCCCACCTCACCCCTGCGAGCTGGAGCTAGGCAAGCCCGCCACACGCCGCTGTCCGGCCAGTGGCCCCCCTCACCCCCGTACGCTCCACGGTCGCCCCTACTCACCTGCGAGGAAGAAGGCCACCATCCTGGAGCGCTCCCGGGGCGGCGCCCACTTGCTGAGCAGCTCGTAGCAGGCCGTGAGCAGGAAGCCCTGCGCCAGGCCCTGCACCACGCGCGCCGCGCACACGCCGTACACGTCGCCGTAGGTGGCGCACGCCGGCATTAGCAGGTCGAAGAGGCTGGACACGAGCACGGACATGGCGAGGAAGCGCTTGGGCCCGAAGCGCTGCGCCAGCTGGCCCGCCGGGATGTTCATCACCACGTACCCCCAGAAGAAGGACGAGAGCACCAGGCTGGTGCGGCTGGAGTCCCAGTCAAAATGCTGTGGCATATAGACATTGTCATTAGCGTTTCGTCTTAACATGTAGAACGTCGTTAAAGGCGGAGAAAATCCACTGAAAACTGCATAATGACGCTTGTCGATCACTAGCTGATGACGAGCAATGTTTCTAAAATATTATCAAAGAGAGATCTCAGATTAAATTTCCGAAAGCACCATCGGATTCCCTGTAAAATTCTCGATCAAACGAGTATACATGTGTGTTATGTTTCGGAGCAGAAATAATAACACTGAAAAAGACGTTAACTTGCATGTTCGCGTACAGAACCACGTATGCTCGTTTTATCGGGAATTTTGCAGGAAATCCGAGGGTCCCTTCGAAAATTTAATCTGAGAGCTCGCTTAGATAATATTCTTCAAAAACTTAAATACGCGCCGCGTCATCGTCTAGTGATCGACATGCGTCCTTACGCAGTTTTCGTGAAATAGACCGCAAGAACCCAAAATTCACATGGACGCCCTAGGGTAGTCAGCAAAACGTATCGTGGGACTCCATTAGGAAACCGTGGGGCGGTTGTCCAAAACCCAATGACACGGGGGTTCTCCTTTAGGCTTCATCATCATGGTGAATGTTGGACTACGTTGCAAAGAAATGTTGACGTCTGTTGTGCGGGGCTCACCGTCTGTCCCTCCCGTGGCTTCGTCATGGCGACGATGGCCACCGACATGTTGGTCCGAGTGCAGAACGCGACGGCTGCGCTGAAGAACATGATGAGGGCCTGGATGTGCCTCGTGCCGACGAGCTGGCAGGCGCGGTTCATGCCACCTGAAAAAGCAGACTCCAGTTAGAGCTGTCCCAGGCTAACAACGGTAACAACAATACTTTGTGCGAGCATTTTTCTTTTCCGTGTCAAAACGACTGGAAAAGCCACGAAAAAAAAAAGACACAATCAGTTCTATCATTTGGCGTGCCCCGAACATAATCAAGTCCCCCGTGGAACGCCTCCCATTCATTCGAATGCGGAGGGAGGCCACACGCCCGGCCCCGCCAACGCCAAGTACGTCTCCATCCACGACCCGCGAATTAAGTGCCCACTGCTCATTTGCACTTGACGCGGTGCTCGGCAGAGTCGACAGCCGTCACTGCGGGTAGCGATGACCATTCAAGTTCACGCCAAACGCGCCAGCCACATGTGTTTGGAGGGCCTGCGGCCCGTGGCGGCGCGACCTGAGTGGAAAGTTCTTTCCACGCCAACATACAGCGCACAGGCATCTTATTCGGCCCTATGGCGGGGCGGGTATCTGATCAGCACCCACGCCATTCATTCAGTTAGAGAGTGTGGTGCGAGCGGTAAAAAAAGTCAGACTTGCAGGAAAAAGGAAAAACTTTTAGCAACTCCCATACTGAGAAAAAGTTCTAAGATTGAGGAAATTTTATTTTAAACATGTGATAATTTTCCTTACTTTTTGATGAAATATCCTCATATAAACTGTTGAGTTTTCTATCAAAATATGGACTTTTCCCTTTTCCGCAAAAATTTCAGACTTTGTATTTATCGTGTGGGTGTGACAGCTAGCTCCGACCGATGAAGCCCAACTAAAACGACAGGGAAGCTCCGTCCAGTCCAATACACCCATGGGACATTCCCTGGTCCATGGGGCCTCGTGGGATGTAATGAGACACACAACCTCATGATATGACATGACCGGGAGATGCTATTTAACCGCATTTCACATATATTTTATGCAGCTTTCTCATGGGTGTCGTCCGTCATTGAGCAAACGACTTTCTTTCGCCAGTCCCCCGCACTTATTCCCAACCTCAGAGCCATGCGTTTTGCGAGAGAATTTCTCTCGGATTTAAGGCCACCCCGCATTTTGTCTACTTGATCGTCTCACGCGTTTGACCTACAATAGCCATTATTGGTCTTTGGGGGCGTCGGCTTCCAGTGTGAACTTCTATATTTACGTCAAGGTCGGTCTCGTTTAAGACAGATCGCAGAGCGCATCGGTCGTCGCGACCCACAGTGCCAGCTCGACGACCAGAAACGCCGGGTGCGGTATGAGCATGCCTTCCACGACCATCTTACACTTCTCTTAGCGTGATTTCCACCTCTTAAGTTATAGATGCGCACACTTATATAACATTGCACAATCTCCCACTCAAATCGCATTTTTTTCTTCTTTCTCATTTAGGGTGGCTGTACGTGTCCCCACCGCGCTGACTATACTCTAATCCACTCCCACTCCACTCCCAGCGCTGGATTTAGATAAGGGCAGCCGAGCAAGCAGCCCCAGTACCGCGCAGCGCGGATTTAAAAAGGGTTGTTTATTACTTAAAGCGCTGACAGATGTGTGGCCCCAACGTTTACAACATGCTCTACGAACGAACGGGACGCAAGCTCACGCACGCGGATCATAAGTTCGTTTCTTATCCGATTCGGATATTCGGGATTATCATCTGTCAATGGAAGATCCAAGTCCACAACAACTGACAAATCTTCAATAAAAATAGACGGCCAAGCAGCAGGCTGATTCAGCATGATTAGTTTTCCACTGATTTATGGTCCGACTGATACCTTACTGTCAAAGGCGCACTTGATCGCGACGATGGTAGCAGAGTCTGAGCAGGCCTATCGCCGGCCGGGCCGGGCCCCGCCTGCAGCGCACACACACGCTGATAATGCAACAGTAGAACAGTCCCACGGTCACACAAATCGAATTTTGGTCAAAAAAAGTGTATTTGGACCACTAAAGCTGCCCTGAAGTCGATCTGCCACAACTACCCTTTGGGGGGCGTAAGTGAGGGGCGAGGGGAACCCACCATCATCCTATGGGGATGGTTCATGAAAATCGCCTTTTTTACTAGAAACATGTTTGGTGGTAAACCACACTCTTGTTCCTATTTTTTTTGTCAGAAATGGACGTTCAAAAATTAAACTCCTATGAAGAGTTGGCGGTAGAAAGGGGTGGGTGAATGAGTGGTCTGGGCGTTTCTCTCAAAGCAATTAGGGTGTACCGTGTACACTGTTAATCGTGGGTGTACAGTCATTGTACGCCAAAGGCGTGTAGCACCCAAAACTGTACGCCTTTTGGCATGTAATGACTGCACGCCTTTGGCGTACAGTGACAGCACATCTTTGTCAGTGCAAATGCTATAGGCAAAACCCGTGCGTTAGTGCGGGCCAATGGCTGAGGATGCACAGAAACTAAACGCCCTACTCCAGCTTCCGAAGCAGAGTGGGAGTGCCGAAGGCGCTTTGGCTTTACGCACCACCAG